ATACCTCGATCAGCATCTCATGGCGTACTGAAACTAGGGTTATGTTCTTGGCTGCCATCGTGGTCATGGCCATGGACATCACAGCCCCCTGTGCGCAAGCAATAAATGGCGGTACTTACTATATATGCGCACTCTTATATTATATATGTTTCTATGAACATAATATATATATATATATATATATATATATATATATATATATATATATATATATATATATATATATATATATATATATATATATATTATATTTAGTCTTTTGGGCATGGACACGATCATATCATCGAGTGTTTATTTAATTTCACGAATTTTGTGCAGTGTGCGAGCATCTGCCGGGGTGCACTATCAAATCCTGCCGCGCCAAGTGCAAGTCCAAGGGCTACGCCAACACTGTCGTCGACTGCGGGAAGACGGGCACGGGCACGGCACCGGACAAGTGCTGCTGCTTTAACACTTCTGCCAAAAAAAAAAAAAAACTGATTGATTAGCTAGTTTCAGAGTTGCCAGCTCTGCTAGCTGCTCCTGCACTTCATTTCCTGTTATCAGTAGTTATCATCTTGCACTGCTTCTGAAAATTAATGAACGAACCAAGTGTGATGTTCATCAGCCTTTATGGATCATTACTTGAGAAGGATATGAGCCATCGTTTGGAACTTCTCATGCATCTATAATGGTTTTGGTTACGTGAGAGACGATTCTTCATAGGTGAGCCTATTTTTCTTCCACGTATAAGTATAATGACCTGTGGATCTCATCAGGATCGAAATCTACAATTTTCCCGATATATTCAGATTTTCTTCATATGACTACAAACTAAGGCCAACTGGGAGGGTGTGTTTGTGTGGGACCTATGCTTGCCTAAACCCATGTCTCTAATGTTACTGCATTCCACTTTAGGCTCCCCCGTGGAACAGCGCCGGAGCCCAACAACACACTTAGCGTTCCTTCTCATTGCTTGAATTATCTTTTTCCTTTGTCATGTGAATAGGTGTTTTAGTCCCATTGATTCATATTTTTAGTCCGGATGAGGGGCATCCACTCATTTGTGTTCCGCTTCCGATCGGACCGACATCTCCATCCACTTATTCCGCGGACTCCCGTAATACCGGTTTCGCTTTCCCCGTCCGGCTTCCTGCTTCCGCTTCCGCTCCCGCACAAAATACAGGAGCGGAATGGTTAAGACATTTTCCGACCGCTTCGACCGCTTTTCAACACTACGTGAGAGACGATTCTTCATAGGTGAGCCTATTTTTCTTCCACGTATAAGTATAATGACCTGTGGATCTCATCAGGAGCTACAATTTTTCATATACAGATTTTCTTCATATGACTACAAACTAAGGCCAACTGGGAGGGTGTGGGTGTCCCTATGCTTGCCTAAACCCATGTCTCAGTTACCATTCCACGCCCTCCCCAATTTTTCTTAGCGTAATGCTTGAATTCGTGTGTCCGTCCCGTGATTCATGTCCGGATGAGCCTCATCCACTCATTCACGGACCCATCTCCATCCACTTATTCACGGACCCAGCCTGCCGCGCGTCTGGCTCACAGACCGCACGCCGCCGATCGCCCGCCTCGCTCGCTTCGGACGGACTCCACTGCGCACCCGCCGCTTCGCCCGCTCGCGCCGCCTGCAGCCGCCATCGCGCCGCGGACTCGCTGGATTTCGGACGATCTTCATGAGGCTCGGCTCCGCGGTGACCTCCGAGCACTCCGCGACATCGAGCCAGAGCCGCGACGACTCCGCACCGGTGACTCCTCCGAGCACTCCGTGACATCAAGCTCCATTCGTCCGAAGCTCCCAGCAAGGTGAATTTCGTCTAAGTAGCAAGGTGACATTGCGCTGAAAGCATGTGTTGCAAGTGTATGTTTCGAGTGTTTCAGTTATTTTAGAGGTATGTTGCAAGGGTTTTGTATGGATGTTGCATATGTTACAATGGTTGTACACTTATGTTGCAAACGTCTGTCCCCAATGTTTCATCTGTTTTTTCAGACGTATGTTGCAAGTGTGTTTATCTGGAAGTTGCATATGTTTCACGCATATGTTGCAAATGTTTTATCTGGATGTTGCGTACGTGTTGCAAAGGTTTTCAAGTGTTTCATGTGTTTTTTTGCAAGTGTTTCATATGCATGTTTCAAATGTTTCTTCTGGCTTTATGTTGCAAATATTTAATCTGGACGTTTCAAAAGTAGATCGGATGTTGCAACGTAGCAAGTGGTGGTATATTAGGCCGAATGTAGATGGCCTACCGTTGCCTGTGGAAGTTTGGGCTGAAGGGGAAAGCAGATTGTGGCTTGGGCTAGCAGGCTTGCTTGCTGGGCTTGCTCGCTGACAGTGCCGCCATTGACCCTGAACTTGTCAGAGTTCCGCCGGAATCAAGCTCCGAATCATCTTGTTCTAAACCGAGGGCATGTGTGGGAGAGCGAGGACGACGACGGAAACTACTAAACTAATTTTGCTTGGCTCGGAGCGAGATGGGGAGGGGCGATGAGAGGGCGAGCAGAGCTTGCCATGAAAGGCCCGGGTAGCTGGAGCTGGGGAGTTGTGAAGGTTACGACGGAGGGTGGCGGGCACGCGTGCCAACTGCCAAGGGATCGTAGACTCAGAGACACAGACGATATGTGTTGAGCGAGCCCACATCAAAGTGATCATGTTTCACGTTCCATGCCGCTAAGCCCAAGGACTGACACTGAGGTGAGTCCAAATAGCCCCAAATGTCAGAAACGAAATTTGTTGGATTGCCGGAAATCCAACATGGCCCAGGCTGGCCTCAAATGTTAGAAGCGAAGGCCCTGTTCGCGTGCCTTTAAATCCGGCTTGATCCGCTTCTTTTTTCATCCGAAACAGTATTTTCCTCTCACAAATTCCTCCAGATTCATCCAAAACCATCCAAATTTCTTCAAATTCCTCCAAGCGAACGAGGCCAAAATTTGTTTGCTGGACTCCCCTACAGTTCATACGGGCCTCCCTTGGGCCTCGGTTGTCGAATAGCCCAGCTAAAGATCAGTCCGACGCAGCATATCAAAGCACGATTTTTATCTATTTATTATTATATATATTGCAACAAAAAAAATGATGGAAAACCCCCTAAAAGGATGGTGTCTAAAACAACCCAATCGCTAGACAAGTCCTGTTACAAGGCAGCAAATACTAAAAGTCTGCTAAAGATAAGGTTTAACGTAACAGGAGTTAATTAAAAGTCTTCAAAAATTGATAATAATAAATCACTTCTAAATATGGGGTTTGTAGTCAGGTATTCAGTACACAAAATTGAACAAGCAGAAATTAATTATCTGCCATGAGTTGGCACAGTATGCCATTAGGTCTAGGTTGTGTGAGTGCTTTTTTGCTTGTTTTCCAGGGGTTCATACACTCTCTTGTAAGGATGCTACTTGAGTCTTAATAAAGTTTCTTTTTCGCAAAAAAAAAAAAGAAATTAATTATCTGCCATGTTTTCTTAGCTCACCACCCTCTATAAAAGCATGATCACAGAGCATGACACTTCAATCTTCAACTGCACACACCCAAACACACAGAGCAAGAGATCCTGAAATCAAAACTACTGTACACACATCTCAGCATCTCATGGCGTTTCTCAGGCGTACATAAACTAGGGTCATGTTCTTGGCGGCCATCGTGGTCATGGCCATGGTCTTCACAGCCCCCTGTGCGCAAGCAAAAAATGGCAATGGCTGTACGTACTATATATATGCGCACTCTTGTTATGTCATAATACATATATCCTTTTATAGTTTTATTTAGTCTTTTAGACATGGACACGAACATACCATTGAGTATATTTATTTAATTTCATGGAATTTGTGCAGTTTGCCAGCATCTGCCGGGGTGCACTATCAATTCGTGCCGCGCCATGTGCACTCCAAGGGCTACGGCAACCTTTTCCCGAACTGCGGGAACACGCGCACGACACTAGACAGATGTTGCTGCTTTATTGTTAGTTAGTTTCAGAATTGATGCCAGCTCTGCTAGCTGCTCCTGCACGGCACTTTCCTGTTATCAGTTATCCTCTTGCACTGCTTCTGAAAATTAAACAATAAATGTCAAAGTTCTGCAAACTGATTCCATGCTTAAAATCCACACACCAAAGGAGCAAGCAGCACAAGAACATCAAAGCAACAAAATGCCATAGAAATCGATTTGAACAGCTAATAAAATTTATCAAATCAAAGACGGCTGTCGGAACCCAAATCCGATGCTAGAAATTGCCATAGATTGCACTAATCTGCAAAATCTGCAAGTAAAGACGATGCTTTGGTGGGATCAATATTCAAGAGGTAAGCCAGAAAGCCACCAGCAACCTTTCAAACAGCAATTCACCACAAGCAAAGGCACATCACCAGCAAGGCAGTTTAGTTAGCTTCTTCCAAACGTCGTATATTAAAAAAACGGAGGAAGTACTCAGATTAACTAGGACCACATATAGTTAGACACATGTCAGCTTAGAAAGGAAATGTACATCTTGAAAGCTGTACAGCACAAACCAGGTTCAGGACAGGACAAGCCCAAAAGCTAAAAGAAAACCCCTAAGGAACAAAATAGGCTCATTGAGCACTGCCTTATCACTCACCTCACCTCGTTCAGCAGCAGCACTTGGTACTTTGTCAACAGCTTAATTGAGCACTGCATATATCACTTGGCATCAAATTCATCGAAACTGCACGTCTGCCTATGTCACTTGATTGAAACTTCATAAGACAGCATATATCAGTAGGCAGCAACTTCATCGAAACTGCATATCTGCATATGTCACTTGGTAGCAACTCCACTTGATATATCTGCGTATATCAGCTGACAGCAACTTCGTGCAGTAATACAAGAAGTATAGCCGAAAGAACAGGCTCAGAGTTCATCAAGTACTTTCATATTCTAATATGCTCCAAATTAAAGGATACGAGATAATGCTCACTGCCATTCCAAAACAATAAGGTAAATATATAGTCAAACTTCTGAACTATACATCTCTGGAGATTTAAGCATTCTATAACGCCACCCTCCTCGCCAGCTCACCAGCAAGCGTTGGGAATTTCTGCAACAGCATGATAAAACCATCTGTGACCACTGCCTTCTTGAAATTTTCCTTCACAGCAAACAACTCCATGCACTTTGTCTTCAACTTTAGACAGCCGTACGTCTCGGCGCAAGCTAAAACAGAAGCAACCGTTTCCGCCGAGACATTTTCACATAGCTTGAGTTCACATATAACCTCGAGACGGTCCAGCGCATATCGGTCAGCTGCGGCAAGCAAATGTATCATCATCTCAACGAGAGGGTCTCCAAGCTCATCATCTGCAGGCATGGCATCCGTGTACATGAACTGAAGCATAACTTTGAATGCCGCGGGCTCGATGTCGTGCAGCGTGATGGATGGCATTGTGGCGTCTGCCATCGGGCCAAAGAGTTCAGCGCTGAAGACAGGCGATCGGGCTGTGAGCACCGCACAGTGAGCAGGGAACACCTCGCCGCCCACAACAAACGACACATCTGTCCCCAAAGCAGAATCCAGTAGGTGGCCCAGATGGCTTGCTAAGTCGGGCTGTGGCGGCACCGGCAAGGTGTTGTCAATGTCAGGCACAGCTATGACCCCACACAAAATTGTGACCGTGCCATTTATCACATAGGATGATTCGAGGTCAATTAGCTTCACGAAGCCATCCCACCCCTTCTCGGTGTCGTTGTTGGGAGTGTAAACCTCCACGGACCTGAGCACATCTGAAGAAGACAGCGTGCCATCTCTGCCCACCAGGGAAGCATCAAAGATGGCTTTGACATTCTTGGATTTGGTCACCAGCTGCAGGTAGATAGATAAGTGCTCGCCATCGCCATCTATCTCGTCCCCACGAGGGTAGCAGTTAATTCTCCACAGGTAACCCCCGGCGGAGAAGTTCTCAGAGCTCACGACGTCCCCAATGCCAAGGTGATGGGTTTGCGCGTAGTCAAGCTTGAACTCGAGAAAACCAGAGCCCAACATCCTACTGCTTCGGTGCTTCCTAGAAAAATTCCCGTGTAAATAACACCGATTCGCAAGCAACAAAACACTTAATCGTAAGAGAAACTGAAGAAAAGGATGCGGAAAAGACTCACTCACATTCCAACAAATGGTTGCGGGCTTGTGGTGGGGTAGGGTTTGTGGGCTTGGTGGTTGCTCTAGCTACCGCCGCCGCGGTGAGCTGAAGACTCCCAAGGAAAGGAACGGCGTACGCCTTGCCTCCGACAAACCTCTTGCCGCCGCAGGCCGCCGGCCGCCGGCCTCCGACGAGCCTCCGCAGCTCGCTTCACGGTTTGGTGCTGTGGGGAGTGGGGACGGCGGATAGTGAAGGGCTGATGTCCACCGCGGCGCCGCGGCCTAGTGACGTAAGCCGCCCACTCAAGTCATGCTGCGGGGAGACTCGTGGGCTAGTGGCCCAAACATAGGCCCATCAAAGAGGATAGGCCCACGGTTGCCTTCTTTGCTAAGGACAAGGCCTAAGAGATTACTTTTTTAAGGGTACGTGAGACTGCAAGTGTGTGTGACATCAGAGATGACAATAGAGACCTGATCCCTGATTTTCCAGGGGGATATCCCTATGGGGAATGGCCCAGATGCTTGAAATTGGATGATGAAGGTGGTGAACAAGGAAGAATATGTAGAGCACTAGGTGACCTCTTCGGCTTCTCCCGGTGGAAGTAATGGTGATGAGAGGGTGTTGGTAGTTGGGACATTACTCCCTCTGTCCTGATATGTTCGTCATTTTGGCTTTCAACCAAGTGCAGCCAAGATTTTCTGAACCTAGTCATAGGGTGTGTACAAATGCATGAAACATTATGTGAATCTAGACAGACAAGAGGGACAGAGGGAGTACTCAGTAGTCGTGAAGAATGTGCACCGCCGGTTCCACCAAACATTGTTTAGCATCGGCGGCCATAACGGGTATCACAGGCGGTTCAATGTATAATACGGCGACAAAAAGAAACCCAAACATCACCGCCTGATCCAACGACCACTCGTCTGTGATACAACTTTTCTCCACCAGTTTGATTGTACCCCAGGCCCCACCACCCCTCTAACTGTTGGTGAAACAATTTCACCATAGTTATTACATAATTGGTCGTGATAATGGGGCGGTGATAGCTCAATCTATGTAATGTATAATAATTCTTGGACAAAACATTTAGTTTGTATAATGTTTCAGTTACCCAGAACTTATGTTTCAAATCAATACACTGCAAATTGTCAATTGTCGCCACATTTTTGCATTGGATCAAATGTTACATAGAATTACAAAGGCTCTACGCGCGCATGGGCACACACAAGTCACTAGTGGAAACTAAACTCAAAAGAATCAATGAGACCAGTTAAAGTTGCTACTGGTTTTGGAAACCACAGAAATTAAACAACCAAATGTCAAAGTTCCACAAACTAATTCCGGTGAAATCGATTAAACCTAAGAAGTCCCCCAGTGCCAATTCCATGCTTAAAAATCCACACACCAATGGAGCAAGCAGCAACAAGAACATCAAATCGACAAAGTACCATCGGCCAGAGCCCAGAGCAATCCATTTGAACAGCTAATAAAACTTATCAAATCAAAGACGCCTGTCGGAACCCAAAATTTGATGCTAGAAATTGCCATAGATTGCACTAATCTGCCAAAAGCTGGAAGGAAAGACAATGTTTTGGTGGGATCAAGATTCAAGAGTTAAGCCAGAAAGCCACCAGCAACCTTTTAAACAGCCTTCACCACGAGAAAAGACACGTAATCTGCAAAGCAGTTTAGCTAGCTTCTTCTAAACGCCATATCTTAAAAAACAGCTAGGACCACATATAGTTAGACACATATCAGCGTAGCGAAAGGAAATATACATCTTCAAAGTTGTACAGCACAAATCAGGTTCAGGACAGGACAAGCCCAATAGCGAAAAGAAACCCCAAAGGAACAAAATAGGCTAATTGAGCACTGCCTTATCACCCACCTCGCTTGGCTTAGCGGCATCACTTGGTACTTTGGCAACAGCTTAACTGAGCACTGCATATATCAGTTGGCTTCAACTTCATTGAAACTGCACGTCTGCCTATGGCACTTGATCGAAACATCATAAGACAGGATATATCAGTAGGCGGCAACTTCATCGAAATTGCATATTCACTTGGTAGCAACTCCACTTGATACATCTGCATATACCAGCTTGCAGCAACTTCGTGCAGTAGTACAAGAAGTATAGCTGAAAGAACAGGCTCTCTGTTCATCAAGCACTCCACATTCTAAAATGCTCCAAATTAAAGGATACGAGATAGTGCTCACTGCCATCCCAAAACACTACTAAATGTATAGTCGAACTTCTGAACTATATATATGTGGAGAGTTAAGCATTCTACAACCCCACCGTCATTGCCAGATCAACAGCAAGTGTTGCGAATTTCTGCAACAGCATGAGAAAACCATCTGTGGCCACTGCCTTCATGAAATTTCTCTTCACAGCAAAGAAGTCCATGCACTCTCTCTTCAACTTTGGACAGCCGTATGTCTCAGCGCAAACTAAAACAGAAGCAACCGTTTCCGCTGAGACATTCTCACATAGCTTAGAGTTCAAATATAACCTTGAGACGGTCCAGTGCAAATCGGTCAGCCGCGACAAGCAAATGTATCATCATCTCAGCGAGAGGGTCTCCAAGCTCAACATTCGAAGGCAAGGCATCGGTGTACACGAACTGGAGACGTGGTAGCAAAAGCGATGGCTACTACTGTCAAAGGCTTTCTCTGTCCCCTCAAGGATTTGCAATCCCAACAATGCATGGGCTACGGTATCTGCAGCTGTCTGGGGACAGCTTCACTAGAGACGTGGTACCGAGCATTGCAGATGGCTGCCCTAACCTGCAGTCTCTTGACATCAGCCATATCCCCTGCCTGAGTCGTGAGGACATAATTTTGCTGCAGGCCAAATGCTCCATTGTCGAGGATAATGATGGGGATCATATGGACTCTGATGACGACTTTTACTATATCGATTTCTACGATCCCTACTATGATGGGTTACTCAATATTTAACGGGTATTCCCCTAGACCCGAATGATGGTATTATATTTTGATCGACAATTTACTCCGAACGATATCTATCAACATGTACAATAGAGGCTGAAAAAGTTTGCATCGAAACACCATGTACGTGTTGAGTTTTGTATATATACCTGATATATTTGTTGTCTTCGCTATACTCGTTAAAATGTTTCCTTTTGGCATTGAGCTTATCTTCACTGCTACATAAATGACTTTCAGAGGGGATGGATCCTAAAGAATTTACCTATCCCAAAACAAAGAAATCTGACTTATATGATCCCATAATCTCGGTCTATAATCAAGAGATCCAAAAAGATCCGTTTTTTAATCCAGAATCCAGATTCTATAGTCACAATCTAGAATCCAAATTCTCATGATTTAGGAAATCCAAATTGGATGTACATGATAACACAAAAAATACCCTTATACATGACGGTTTACTTTAGTCACAGACAAGCGAAAATACGTCACAGTTAACTCACCATTGACGATCGAAAAAAACATCATATATCCCGCGTCATATATTTGTTGGACTGAATTGGGCCGTCGTAGATTGGCATTTGTGGACGTCATAGATTAGTTGTCTGTCTACTATAACCAGTCCAGATCCAAACCATAGTGACGAAAAAGAACATCACAAATTAGTGTCAAATCATCACTGCATTAACATGCATCACAGCTCATAAGATACACCAATCATATAAAGAAACATTGATCATTCATGTACTAGCAAGCCCACTGCTGTCACATTTTATCAAACTACGAATTGGCGTGCTCACAACCTTTTAGTTTGACTATCACAACAACTAAGTTTGAACCTAAAGATTTGATCTGAGTCTAAAGTAACTAAACATTAGCATCCATGAGCACTTCAATTGGCTTGGTGTCCATGAAATGTGCTACCTGAAAATCAAAATGAATATAAGATAAGTCAGTTTTGATAGCAAAGATTCTAAATAGAAATGTCATCTATTTATTAGGAAGCTTGAAACTACTTATATAGTTCAATGCATATATTTTTGAGAGCCCAACAAGTAGAGCATGAGAATCTAAATATGATAGAAACAACTTGTAAATTAAATTTGAGAGCCAAGAAGCTAGTAGAGCTACCCTATGTCTTTCCACACATCTAGCCCTTGTAAATTCATGTTGTAGATTAAATTTGATATAAACAATAATGGATTGAGGTGTTGGCTGACTTGCATCTATGTCTGCTGGTGGCTGCGGCATCATCCCTTGCTGGAATTGAAAGATAATGTATAAACAGAGAGAAAATTATTTGACTGCACAGTACCAACTTATACACACACTTGAAAAAATTGTTATTTTATATATTTAGAGATGAAGGGTAAATGATTGAATTTTCTATACCTTTAGACAAGATAGACTAGGTGTGGCAACCAATCTTCATATTTGCATTAATCTTCAGAAACATGTTAATGTCCTATTGGCTGCACAAGAAAAATCCCAGGCTAAGAATCAAATAAGCAAATGTAGAACCAATTGAATGTGGATGCAGTTCCTTTTTCTTACTAATGATTTCATTTCTCAGACTTCACATGGATGAAGCCTCCTTGCATTATTGCTTAACGAATACAAATTAAACTGGATCATTGCTACAAGTTATTCAACACTGAACTCAAAGATCAAAGCTATTGCAATGATACCAGGACGTGAGAAAATTAGAAAACTCAAGTATCTGTGATTGTTAATTCGTTCAGGTACCATATAGTAGACCAATTCAAGATGATGGCAATGGACTCATATTAAGAATATACAATGGACTCGAAAATATATACAACAACAGTGTGCTAGCTAAGACTAAGAATTGACAGTCATTGTTCTTCCAGATAAAACTAAGATGGACTAAAAAAGCAAAAACACACAAATGTTAGTTGTTCCCATGGACAAAGCAACAGATATTGAAGCCACGACA